CGATCTCTCGCCTTCAGGACGCGTAGGAGTTGCATACCGGACACCGCGAATAAAGAATTGCAGGGAAGCAGAAGTACCGTGAGAGAAATTGGCTATCCAGACAAATTTATCTCGAAACATATGGGGGAATAAAAACGCAAGCTAGCTAAGATCACGGCTCCTGAAAAAGAGCTGTTCACGCACTTTCTACTTAAGGGGGATTCTGTTGCTGATACCTTGTCCTGACGCTTGAAAGATGCTGTTGCGAAGACTTCCCGGGCAGTTTGAGAACTGTTTAGTACAACAAGCCATTGCTTGTATAACCCTTAAATGATGAGCTGTCCTCGTTGACAGGTTCAATGCTCGCTTACCGGTACTCGTTCTCCTGCGGTGCAAGATACGTGGGTAGCACTACGAGGCGCCTACCGCAGAGAATAGCGAGTACGTCCCGGCAGGACCCTATGCAGGCAAAGGGAGATCTTCAAACACCTGTCACACCTTTTAGATTACGGCCACATAAGCCTCTAGCATGTTCATCAAAAGCAGTAGATTGGCTATTTGACTTGATGCTTCGCTGCAGTAAAATCACGGTAACCTACAGAACAAGGAACAATAAGAGGGAGAAGTAGGGCCTAGTGCAAAACCGTAATGACACAAACAAACACTCGTGATCAAGGCGCCTACACCTTGTCAACAACATACCGTCACAAAATGCTGGCTATTGTGCAAAGCTAAGGCGATATCAGCCAGATAGCTTCCTTGCGGCTTTCACCGCCCCGCGTCATAATCAGCCATTACCCCGCAGATAACTCAGCACTAAAGATGGCAAACAGGCAGTCCTACTAGGAGACGGCAGCAGATGCATCACTGATGTCGACTGCGAGACATGTCCTGTAACATCTCAAGCCAAGCACAAGGCCAGTCACGTGGACTCCGTCCTGAAAGCCGAGACGGACCGAAGGCACGGAATGTGGTCGACAGTGACTCCATTTCACACACCAGCAATGCTTCGCAGACAACGAAGACTTGAAGGCGCATCAGATTTTCAGACGGAAGGCGCCAAGCCTCACTACCATAGAGTAGGACGGCCCTCACTGTGGCCTTGTAAACACGGTTTATTGGACCGATGGAGACCCCTTTCTGACGTCACAGATGCTAAAAGGCAGTCCCAGGTTTGGCAATGCGTGAACTGCCTTCAGTAGTTATGCACCCATCGTTGCCGATGCAACTGCCAAGGTAGGTGAAGTGATCAACTACTTCGAGTTCCTCGCCATCAAGGGGTCATAAAGTGGCTCGTGACCCTGTAACAGCACTGCACTTTGAAGGTGCGAAGCGCATGTCAAGTGATGGGGACAATCTAGAGAGATTATTCAGGGTTGATTGCGCCGCCCCAATATCGACAATAAGCAGGACAATATCGTCCGGATAATCAAGATCAACAGGCTTTTCCCAGGCAACACCTCAAAGCATCGTGAGGCTCCACAAGGGAACACTGCATGATTAAGTCAACGGGGAAGTTGAATAGAAATGCGGAAATTGGGCAACCCTGACAAACGCCACTTGTTGTCGGAAAGGCATCCGACAACTCACCGTAGGCCCTGCCGCGGCGCGTTGTGATCGAGTACACAGCATGCCAAAAGTTCATATATTCTGAGGAAGCGCTTTTCCAACCAAGTATTTCGAACAGAAGATATCAATTGACTGAGCACAGATATAGTCGGTTTGCGGTAGCTGTAGCGCTGCTCTAGCAATTGCAGCAAAGTGAATATATGGTCTATACAGCTAAGTCCTGGGTGGAAACCTGCCTGCTCTTCCCTAATCCGTGATTCTCGTTCTGCATGAGGCGACAAATGAGAATCGAGGCCAGTAACTTTGTCACCATTGTCTTTAAGCTAATGTCCCTGTGGCTAGCGCAGTCCGTGCGGCTGCCCTTCTTGTTTGTCGTCACTATAATTGATTCACTCCAGCCAGCCGGCATGGCCTTTGACCTCCAGACAGTTCGAACAGGGAAGTCGGTGTTTTGCAGAGTACTTCACCTTTGGCCTTAAATAGTGCAGATGCCAGGGAATCCGGGCCAGCGGCACGAAAACAATTGAGGGCTGTGATCACATTTCGGACTTCAGACTCCGACGGAGTCTGCATCACCTGAGTAGGAGGAAGTCCAGAAGCAGGTGGATAACTGAACTGATCTCAAAGTGCTCCGCCCAATGAGAATTACGGTGCTCCTTGTTGTGAATCATGATACCTGCGCTGTCTCGGATTGTTTCACTGGCGCTTGATTTCCTGGCACCAGTTGTGGAGATCACGGGAAGGGCTTGAGATAATTACCTACTGATCCTGCTTCCCCCATGTTTCGAGCCCGAATGGTCCACCAGGCTTCCTTGGCAGCATGCAGGGTTTGTTTCAATTCGCACCTAATAGTCCGCCTGGGTACACTGTCGGAGGTTACTCCTGAATTCCAAAAGGTACACCGACCTCTCGGATATCCAGTGGCTGGTGCGGTGATGATTCGTAGTGTCGCAAGCAGAGGCTCATGCATGGCGGCTGAGATCCTATCCCATTGAAGCATAGTGTCATTAGGACAAGCGGGCGAAAGTTCGGTACGCAGGGCATCCTGGTAGGCTTGCGTGACCGAGGGCTGGGTTAACTTCTCAGTCGTCAATCGAGTGATACCCTTGTTACGCCTCCCGGTAAAGTTCATTGCAAAGCGACAGCGTACCGAGACATGATTAAAATGGATAAAACTGAGGATGAGCCTCGTAGCCATATTCTGAACACGTTCCTGTCTCTGCACCTCACCACAGGAGATGGGACAATAGGCGAGTGATCCGTAAATGAGCATCGGTCGTAGGATGGAAGAAAAGAGGCAATCTCTTTAAAACAAGTGCAGCAGATAGGTTTCAGCGCACAAAGCATGCACAGTCCACTTTCATACAACTTATTCGTGTTATATATGAATTTGAAATCGCAGTAAGCCGAGGTCATTCACGGAAGGCTTGGGGTGTAGCGGTTGGTCGGCCAATGTGTACGTATGCCCATCACCCCCTAACCCAGGCTCATCAATGACGATGTGACTGTGTTGACTAGCAGATCGACATCCACAGACCACATGCAGTTGCCAAGGGAAGTGAATTGATTATCTCGAGTTCGTCACTATCAAGTGTCAAAGGACCATCAATTGGTTGGCGGGTATGCAACAATATCTAACACTTTGAAGATACGAAAGCATGCCAAATGATGGGACTACTCCAGAGTGGTCCAGGTTATCCTGGGCCGATTGGACTACCAGAACATCGATAAACAGGGAGATAATATCGTCCGCGTAACCAAGACCAACTAGTTTCCCACCAAGCAGGAGCTCAACGGCTGCATCGTGCTGGAATACATGATGAAGCCGAACAAAAATAGGGAAATTGGGTTAACCCGAAGAGTCACTTGTTGTCAGAAAGATGTCTGGTAAGTCATCGTAAACCCTGACGAGGTATGTGGTGTTCGAGTAGGGGGCACGTCACAAATGCACATATATCATGTGAAGACCTTTACGGACATAATGGGTCGATCGACTGAGTCGGAACGCAGAGTACACAGGGAGAAATGGAAAAGCACTATGCAGCGAACTCGAGGTCGTTCTCTGTATAACTTGACCTCAAGAATAGAGGGGAAGTGAGCTCAGAATATGACATTCACTGGTGCATGATTCAAAAAGAAAACGCCAAGATCAGGCTCCAGAAGTCGGAAGTCCATCGAGATTGTGCGTTTTTATTACTAGTGCATAAAGTCATGGGCCATGCACTCGCTAGTTTGCAGGAAGTCAGTCTGATCGGTCACAACCAAGCCATCGAAAAGTCGCACCAACATCTCTCATGATTGGTCGCCCATGCCGCTAGCGTGAGAAACTAGGTTGTCCTGTACGTTGTAGGATCTTGGAACGGGAAATGACGGAAGACTGTTGCACAAGTCCAGTCAGTTTGGTGAAGCTATCAGCTGTTCGGAGTGAAAGATGTGGCACGAGGCAGTTTGATTAGCAGAGTTCCGAAACCCAAGCGCCGGATGTGTGTGTGCGCCAAGGGATGAAATAAGACATTCTTGGCTACCGGGGGCCTGAAGCAACAGCACAGGTGGCATGTTGAAGTGGCCGCTCGACGCCTCACGTATGTATTCAGTACAGCGCTCAAGAAGTTGTGCGGTGTACTATTTCATACGGAATTTCGAGGCGTCTGTTGAATGGGTAACTTGTGGCACGTTCACTTTCCCGATGCCATTGGCAGCCTCTTGTTGGCATACAGGCGGAGAGAACACAGCGAAAAGAGAGAACAAGACATGACAATCGGGTATGGAGTAGCTTTTTAGCTGCCCTGTCCGGCAGAGTAAAACAAATCTAGATAGCTGGTGTGACTGCAGATTCCACTTCGGCAACCTACTGGGCGCTCGCAGTTTTAGGCAGTTCTGAGAAGCTCGTGCGTTTATTCCATAGCAGTAGTTTGGATAGTTGAATTAGTGGTAGTAATTGCTGTAGACCATAGACTCGCGACCAAGTTCTCGTTGGCTGTAACATATCAAGAGGAGTGATGGGTGCGCTCTCCTAGTATCGTGAACAACGTACGGACCTGTGCCGATCGACCTGAGCGCGTAGCTTAAAAACCGGCGTCCCAAGGGAGGACCATGGGAATATCCCCATCGACCTATTCCCAACTACATGTCAAGCTTGTCTGAGTTACAAACCCAGACCCGTCTGTTAATATGCACGCTTGTGGAATCTGTAGGTGTGTGTGCCAAACACCGAGAAACCTAAACCTAAATCGTATCGCAATCGGGTCCATCATTTTTCAGCCACTAATGGCCCGATACATTGGCATATATGCCACACATACCAAACATGATGAATTCAGTTTAGATGAGCCGGCAACGAAGGTGAGCGAATCTGAATGCGATGGATGCACGAGTACCAGTGGTGTGCATGCGAAAACCTATGACCGCAGGCGCCGACCGAATTGAGAGACAAGGACAAAAGTCAAGTGTTTAGGGAGAACATTCACTTCATTATCAACATCCGGATACAGAGGATGTTGTATTGGTCTGTGATCTATATAAGACAACGCTATCTCTTCTTCAGTTAGCCCCATTCCCTTCTTACCGACTGTTCTTCTGTGTAGAGTTCATCAGAGTGGCACAAAGTAACATTAAGTAACAAGGAAACGGAGCTAACTGAAGAAGTGGAGGTAGCGTCGTCTTACGTAGATCAAAGACCGATACGACAAAACGACTATGGGGACAAGGACACAGGGGAAGGACTGTGAGCTGAATCCATGTGTAGATCATCGTGGAAACGTTGAAGTTGGCCCAGAAAATGCAGGTTGGGGCCGGCCACAGGACGGCGTGCTTGTACAAACTCCAGTGCGCGAATGACGTTGAAGCTGGGCCACAAATGCATGAGGTAGGCCATGACGACGGCGACGGAGCGGGAGACGCCAGCTTGGCAATGCACCAACACGGTCCCGTTGTTTCGCTTCGCTTCAGCTGGAGTAGGAGAATAAATAGTGAAGTCGCTTGTGGTATCGCATAGAACATCGGCAAAGAGACCGATTACGAGAAAACATGATATATTGCAAATAGGCGCAAGATCACGTCAGGTTGATTTACAAGCTAAATGCGATACGGCGCGTCACATTCTCTAATGCCACGTGAGCTATGAACGTTGCGCAGGACAGGGTTGGACACGAAACACGATTTCCTCTTCAAATAGGCAATCGGCGAATCGTTGCTGCCACTCGGACACAAGGTTTAATGGCAAAGCAGAAGGCACAGTGTGTCCGCGCGCGGATCTTGAGCATGCGTTATAGCATTCAAATGACAAGGTACGGAACATGTCGGATTGGTCATGTGACAAAAAGCGTGGATGGAAGCAGTCGACAACATCTGAGAGGAGGCGGGGGCATGGAAATGGGCATCAGCTGAAAATTGAAAACTGTCAGTCAGTCAAACATCCCACAATGGCAGGTAGTCGTAGTAAAAGCGTTAACAGAGCAAAGACAAACACAGCTTTTCGACATTGCTAGATCTATACAAAAAGGATGGAGCAGCGATTTCCCAATTTGGATTAATGAGTGAACTGTAGCCATTCATTACGCGCATCTCTAATTAGGACGCCTCAATGAAAAGTAGACGAAACGCGAAAGACGTCGTTTTGTAAGTGGGAAACATGTGACTTGATTCAGATACGGTCGCTGCAACCGCAATTAGAGACAATCTCATTTCAAAGTGAATTGGCGTCATCAATATGATTGTGTTTCGGTTCATTCACACAAGCGTTACCCGATAGCTATAGGGGTAGACGTCTCGGTTAGGATTGCAATAGTCACCGGGTTCGAGAGAGCAAATAAGACAGAAAGGTGTCATGGAGTGCACTGTTTTCGGGCGCCAATAACCAATACTTACCTGCTTCACCAGTTATGGTCCAAGTGATCGGATTGGCAAATGTCCACTTGAATGGGAATCGCCGCCCACATTGGGATTGCGTGTCGCAATCCAATCACAAGGCGTGTAATCTAAAATGGCCCTCCAATCAGTCAGTAACCGTTGTGCCAAACGTTGACCGTCGAGACCCGATATACAAAGGGTTAGAGGTTTCGGCTACTATTCCAATGGTTGCGAGTTCGAGGCCCGCTATCTGCACCTGATGAGATGAAATTACATCAAAACACCTCGTGGTTGTGCAGTGTTTTCGGGCTGGCAAGACCCAATTTCCCTCTGATTCGGCTACGGTCCCAGTGACCGGATTAGTGAAGGTTCACTTCAATGTGAATCGCGGGCCACATTGCGATCGATGAATTCGAGAATAAACGTTTGCATTTATTCAATGTGAATTGCGGTCCACATTGAGATCGCGTGTCGCAATTCATTCACACGGGTGGATCAAAATGATCTCTGCAAACAGTCATTAGCCATTGAGTCAAGCGTTGCTTATCGTGACTCGGTTCGGACTAACATTTTAATACCCCCCGGGTTCTACCAAAAATGTTCGAAACCTGTCGTGGAGTACAGTGTTTTCATGCGGGCGACAACCAGTATCCACCAGCTTCAAGTTTGTGCCAACAGTTGCAAGGACCGGTGACACACTGCACGCGGAGCAAAGGCACGTAATGAGTGGCTTATCTTGATGCTAGTAAGTGGTATTCATCTGCACGAGTGGGAGCGGTGTGTCACCTCAAAGAGACCAAGTGATAGTACCTCAGAACAAGTTGAACCCCCTGCCATAAACATGTTATAAATAGGCCATCGGATAATCAGTAGCCGCTTACTTGCGTATCAAAAATGGGTGCGGCATTCGAGAGATGGCATGCTGATGGCATGCAAGTCAATGAAATTAGCGATGCCTCGCTACTGCAGTGAAACTTGCACGATGTCGATACACAAAAAAATCAGTAAGCTGGAACAACTGCGTCAACGCTTGCATCGTTGGCATGGCAGCTGCAGAGGTTGAAGTGAGCTACAGGAGTGTGACGCATGACTTGGACTGTATGCTGCGCCTTAGATGGTTTGATCATGTTTCCAGGACGGATGCGGCCGGAATATCAAGTTACTGTGTGGTCAATTAAGTGCAGGAAAAAGAGTAACTACAGACAGAATCTGTCATTCTTGAAAAGTGATGAGAGACTTTGGTGTGATTCTAAAAAGGATTCGAAGCACCAAGTCCCCAGACGGACCTCATCGGCTGCGACCACTCTCGTATTCGAGCAAGTAACAAGTCAACTGGTTTTGTCATCGCCTGCCACGGAAATCGTAGCTCTCGGGCCAACGCTGCCCCCCGCATGGCAGTGAAGGATGAGCCACGCTACATCGTAGCTAGAAACCAGTCATGACGGCCCATCACCGTCATCCATAGCCTAGTGGCATAAATCACCGATTTAAACTCACGAGTCATTGGTTCGACAGTCCGCGTGAAGAGTGTGCGCTGTTGACGATTCCCAATACAGTGGAACGGTGCTTTTCTTGTTGCGCATGGGGTTACGTAACTGGGAGCTAGTTGCAGCGAATCCCATTTACTCAATCAGGACACGACCCAGCTGAAGTTGCCATGAGTTAAAATTGACTCCGGGTGCCGGTAAATAATAGCAGTGGATCACCACCAGGATACGGTTGTCCACATGCGTGGAGAATGATAAGCTGTCCAGAACAGAACCGCCTGACATACAAATGATCGCGGCAGATAGTTGTACTCATCAACAATGAGGAAGCTGACAAGGCGCATACCCGTCCGGTAGGAAATCGTGGTCTGAGTGGTTTCGTTAACGAGTTGTGGTTTCGTCAACCGCAGTGACCACCGTGTAGCCATTTCTTGGTGTAGGTTTGGCACGCACATCTCCCTCAACCGTACATCGATCGATGAGTGTCGGTGTGGGCTTGCTCCGAACAAATTGAGGCTCCCATCCTGAGGCCTATTTCGGGTTTGCATAAAGGTGTTGGACGACGATTGGATGGAGCTATGAGTGAAGCCATGCACGGTTAACCGCGCAGGAGAAAGTATCATGTGTCCGCTTGATACGATGTACACAGAGTCTAAGTGAACGTGATGTGAGTTGATGTGTTGACTTTCTCACCGAGCTGAGCAAATTGACTGCAGACGTTTCGCCACCAATCGAGGTGACGTCATAAGTGCGTAGTGGCAACTGGTTTGTTAACAGTAAATGAGTTTCAGGAAAATCCAAAGAAGAGTGCTAGTGGCTAGGGGCTGAGCTTTATATACAGTTCAAGTGTTGGTGATAACCGAGTTTCAGCTGGACTGAATATATGTTCTCGCGCATTTCTCATCGATTGATGACAAACTTGCTGCTATGTAGATTGGCTACTTTCAATCGCAACAGCGATTAGTCGTAATGTTCAGGAAAAACGGTTAGGCAGTTTGTTCTGTCTGATGTTTGTGTTGCAAAATGTGGTTTCTAACCGGCCCAAATCCTTTCCTTCCCACTTGTTGGTGCACATGATCGATACGAATTTGTTGTAGAGAACTATGTTCCCAGAAATGATCCACTTTTCTATTAACAGCTGAATTGTAGACGTCAGCAACCTTCGCTGAATTAGCCTGAAGCTCAGTCACGGTTAGCAAGTTAATACCTTCTACGTGTTGTAGATGCCAAGTCAATTGGCCGTCTACAATCAAATTGTTCAGTCTGAATAGCAAATTAGCCCCTCAAATCTCAACCCGAGCTACGAATATTTCACGCACGATGATGTGCGGTTGTGACAGAGCCGTCCGCTCAAACAGAATGCACGTAAAAGGATGAAATGACATCACAGAGACCACCGGAGATACTTGAAATCGGGTACGTGTGATCTCACTTCGAGTGTGCCCCCTGTGAAATTCAGGTCCAATCTCGCAACTAGCAACAAGCTACAGCAATGCCGCAGAGACTTACTGATAAATTGGATCCCATTTTCGAAAGCGGGACGCAAGTCCTGACTGTGGTTGTCCACCGCGGGCAAATGCAGACATTGGAATTCGGTTGTGTTCAAGAGGGACGCAGGAATGCAGTCTGTCACGCTGATGATATGTGTTATGCCGAGGCGAGAAAGTAACGCCTTGTCTTGGACATCACGCAGATTGCCTAGGGGGGTAAAATGAAGATAGGCCGAACGACATGAGCATACGGTGTGTGAGTAACTGAAATTCAGAGAGATTAATAAACAATGAGGCACACCACCACGGTTTCCAATGCGCCTGCTAAACGTAGGCCGAGAGTTAGTTACAACAAGGGCGAGAAAAGCACGGGAAGAAGAGAGGTACAGTGTAGCAGATGTTTGATTACTCTGACAATGGTAACGAGCACAGATGAGCTACAACTGAGATCAAAGAGCACTCCCTGGTCGAAGGTGGTCGCAAAGGAGTGGTAGACGATGACTAAGTGAAAATCTCCAGGGCCAATCATCGCTATGCTGTGTGCGCTCAGCAACCGTAGAGTACTTGGAACCTAAGGAAATTGCAATAGTCGAGACATTAAAATCAACTGATAACATCAAATGCAGTCCGGTTCAGTTCCTTGTCCATGATAGGGAAGTAAAGGATCTCGACTTGTCGCGTGACGAGTGAAGATGGGGAAAATAGCCTAATTTATCCGGGGTCAGAAACAAAGGGCCCTCAGCAGTATATCAGTATATTTTACTGAGTAATCACTGCCTAGTACACAATACACTGATATGGAATTGTAAGCAGTTGGAAGGCTGTCTGCCCAAAACCTGAACAGTAGTGTGAACTTGAACCCGGGGGTCAGACAACTGAGCTACTATACTAGGAATCCCCATCGTGGAGTCCACTAGCCGCATGACCAGTAGTTGAAAACAAGGGACCAAAGGCGAGAGCGTTGCTAAGTTCTATGCTACCACACCATGTGAGATAGTGATTTCAACCCCGTTGCAGCTGATCCAGCCCGATGTCTCACCAAGGATGACAGGCTAATGCGACAGATCAGTCCCGTCTACCTAGGGTTCGTGAAAAATTGTGAGTATGTCACTGAAGTGAGGTAGCCAGGCAAGCCAAATAAAGTTTTTTTTAATGACCTTACCACTTTCCTTACTCATATTATACAAATTAATATATCTACCTCTTTTACTATCGTTTCAGCAGATTCTTGAATTGAACTGGGTCTGCAGTTTGATAAAAAGGGAGAAGTTGGAGCATCGTGGTGATCAAATATTTTTATCTCAAAGGAATGACACCATCTGAAATCCACCAAGACATGCTCGATACATTGCATGACAGTGTCCCTTCGTATGCCACAGCTGAATGTCGGGTGCAAGGAATCAAGTGAGGCAGGAAGAGTATGAAAACGAGCCCAGGTCAAGGAGAGCAAGAACAGGCACCATCAAAGAAAATCTTGAACTAGTATTGAATATGATCATGCAAGATCGCCGACTAACAGCTTATCAGATATCAGAGATTGGGCATCTCCTAGGAGTGAGCAGATAATATTCTGAAGAAGGATAGGCCATTCAGAAGTTTCCGCTCGATGGGTCTTCTGACTGCTGAGCAGAAGCGCATGCAGCATGTGATGTCAAAGAACAAGTTGGAACTGTTTGAGGTAGATACCGATAATTTTATCGCAAGATTTCTCATTATGGATGAGTGCTGGGTTCAACACCTTCAACCAGAAAGAAAAGGCAATGGAAGTGTTTTCTATGCCACAGAAGGCCAAGGATGCGCCATCAGATAGCAAGGTTATGGTAGCTTTTTCTGGGATCCTCAAGGTGCGTTGTTGATTGATTCCTTTAAAAGAGGCCATACTATCACCGGAAAGTAGAACTGTGAGCTTCAGAAACGTCTCGGCAGCAAAACATAGAAAAGAGGAGTCATGCTCCACAGTGACAACGACCCAGCTCACACCTCCATTTTTCAGGAAACAATCTATGATTGCAGGTTTTAGCTTTTCCCTCACTCGCTCTATTCGCCAAATCTGGCTCCTTATGACTTCGACCTACTTCCGAACTTGGAAAAGACTTTAGCTAGCAAATAATTTGCTTAACGAGAGTGATGTTAGTGAAGCTGTAGAAAGGTTTGCAGAGGCAAGCTAAAGAGTTCTTTTACATTGGGATAAAGATCCTTCAGAACCGCTGGAGCCAGTGTTGCGTTTGATGATGAACATGTTGAAAAAATTATCGGTGAGTCCACATCTCTTGGGAGACCAGGAGGTTGCCTATGCCTCCAATGAAGCCTGCTCAACCGATCTCCGCCACAACCCATTTCGTTTGTAAGTGCGTAGTAGTTACATTGGCAGAACCGATCGATCCTTGGGTAAGCGCATTGGAGAGCATATCCCGAAACGGATTGTTAAAATATCGACACAACCAGCAGCCGAACGAGAAAAGGTATCTAAGCTGCCGGCATCATCGATCGCCAGACATCTACTCGAATCAGGCCATCAGGTTGACCCTAGGTCAACATTTACAGTTCTCTATCGAAATGACAACCCCAAAGTTTTGAGGTTTGCCGAGGCGGTGGCACTTAACCGCTATCGCCCTATCCCTTGTGTACAAAAACAATTAACAGTCTCCCTGAAGCTTCCGTGGGGCTCATGACCCTAAGATCAAGCTCGATGGTCTGTTATTCTTGCGTCAACGTAATTTTCCTTTGTGACCAGTTTCAAATCTTCGATTTATCTGTCAAGTGATTCATCTGTATGTTGTTAGTTTGCGAGTGAGCAGATAACACGAAATGGTCCCATCTCGCAATACCAGTCTTCTCATTGTCTTATTAAGAATAAAATTTTCATTCACCATATGTACTTGCTGGAGTGCTATCGGGTGGCAAATCGGTGGCCTCGTGCATACTGGCGTAAACTTCGAAAATACAGATTTAGAAGGTTGGCAAGTGCAAAGGGAGTGATAAGCCAGTAATTGGTGGACGGCACCGCCGGAAAACAACTGCCTGGGACAACAGATTCATCCCCGCACAACGGAGTTAGAAGATGTGTGTAACGGTACACTTAGGGAGCGGTAAGCGAGGGCAAATTGTCATCGGGCGTCGTTCAGTGGTAGGTGATCATCTTTGTACCACAACACATGGAGGTATTCCAAAACTGCATGAGTGCCGTGAGTTTGAGTACGCCGGTACGTAGTAAAGACGCTTCGCTGCCGTGCAACCACCACCAGTCGCACGTGGATTAAAGATACTGTGAGGGTCGCCCGGTTCCCTACGCACACTGGAACCCGCGGAGGTAGATTATAAGGTATGTTTAAGGGCACAGGAGTATCACGGACAAGGTGAAATGAATCCAAGGGTGATACCAGCACAGCGACAAATAAATTTGTTGACAACTAGAAGCTTCTCGGTGAGTGTGCGAACGAATAAGCCCCGGTCACAAGTACTTAGCAGATTTGCTATTCATTCACACGCTGGTAACACATATGACACCGATTGCCAGATGAAGCATTTTCAAAGTGTTATTGGGACTGAGCAGAGTATCCAATGAAATTAGCATTTACAGGTTAAACAATGAGAAAAATGGCAAAACTGAATGGGAGAGATTTCGAAAACCCATATCAACTAACTGACGATTGACTCATCAAGCGGTGCCCTTATAGTAAACGCTCCTATTCCTTTGAATACCCCCGGGTTCGTGGATATCGAAGTCGGCTAACGAGTGTGCGGCTTATGCGCTCGCGCACACTATGACAATAAGTAGAAACGCGGCACGTGACGGCTCATCTGACAGTCACGCACTGACAGCTTGGCAGAGCTGATCAAACCTCATACCCAAACCGAACACGCATAGGACTATTCACTGGAGTCTACAAGAGTAAACCAAGTTAGACAATAACGAGGAGTGAAAATTCAATCACACAAACAGAACAAGTCACTGGCGCACAAACTAACTTAGGCGACTGAAGCTTTGCTAGGGTGCAAGCAAACTGTTTGCATCCTGCAGGGGCTCGGCGCATATCGGATTACGCGTACAAGAGTGCAGCGAAAGCGGCCGCGTGCCAAATGATGGGACTACTCTAGAGTTCAGTAAGAGATGACTGGATGGTCCCAAGATCGTTGAATGGAAAAACGATATCGTTCGTATAATCGAGATCAAATAGCTTTCCACTGGGCAGCACATCAACACATGCATCGTGCGATTCTGCAAGGGAACAATCCATGATGGAGTCCATGATTAAGTTGGACAAATATGAGGAAATTGAACAACCCTGACGAACGTCACTTGTTGTAGGAAAGTAAGTCAACCTACCATGAAGCGGCCTGTGGTGTTCGAATCCATGGCAAGTAAAACACTCACATATTTCATAGAAACACATTACCGCGAGTATTTCGAACAGGATGCACAGATCAACAGAGTAGAACGCATTCATGAACTGGAGAAACACAGCTATTGTCTGTCTGAAGTATGTGTGGCGCTGCTCTAGCAACCGAGGTAGAGAGAGCATATAGTCTATACAGCCCCGTCCTAAGCAAAAACCAGCCTGCTCTTCCATAATCCGGGATTCCCGTTCCGCGGTGAGGCGACGAACGAGAATTGAGGGCAGTACTTTCGTCACAACTGGCGTTAGGCTAATGCCCCTGTGGTTAGCACAGTTGGTGCGACTGCCCATCTTGTATATTGCCATCATAATCGATTCACTCCAGTTAGCCGGAACGGTCTCCTCCTTCCATACATGTTCGAACAGGGAGGTCAATGCTTTGCAGAGGACCTCACCTCCATCCTTAAATAGTGCAGGTTGCAAGGAATCCGGGCCAGCTGCACGAAAATGATTGGGTGCTGTGATCGTGTTTCGGACCTCAGCCTCCGACGGAGCCTCTAAACTAACCTTCCATGACTCATCTTGCATCATCTAAGTAGGAAGAGGTAGAGAAGCAGGGGACCAACTAAAGTGATTATGAAACCGCTACGCCCAACGAGCTATATGGAGCTCCTCATCGCAAATCAGAGCACCCGCGAAGTCTCTGATTGACACTAACACCTCGTTTCCTGAGGCCAGTGGTACAGATAAGCTGGATGAGTTTGCGACAACTGCCTACTGCTCCTGTTTCCTCCATTTCTTGAACCAGACGGATCCACCAGGCTTCCTTGTCAGCACGCAGTCTCCGCTTTAGTTGGCGCTTAATAGTCCATCTGGTCACATTGTGCACAGAACCAGCCGGCAGTTTGCTTCTGGATTCCAACAGGCGCACCGACCTCTCAGATATCCAGTGACTGGTGCGGTGACGATGGATAGTGCCACAAGCAGATGATCTTGCGTCGTGCATGGCAGTCTATCCTATTTCAATGAAGTTCACTGCCATTAGGGCAAGGGGCGAAAGTTCGGTACTCAGTGCAGCGCGGTAGGTTTGCCTGACCGAAAGCTGAGATAATTTCTCAGTCGCCAATCGAGAAAGAGAAATGGTGCGCCTCCCGGCAAAGTTAATGGAGAAGCGACAGCGTATCAAGGCATGATCAGAGTCGACGCAGGTATTCCAGAACGAGTGGCAATCTAGGATGGGACCACGTCACTTGTAACTTATGGCAATGTGATCAATAGGGGTCCATCGCTGGGCAGCTACAGGTATACGCTAAGTGGCACTTCTGCGCCCACGGTGTCTGAAAGTGGCCCTGCTAAAAAACAGCTGGTGCTGCGTACACAGTGGCAGCAGACGCTCACCGTTCAGTTCGTTCGGAGTTAAACCCATAAATACCACCTAGCTGAGCTTCTAATGAGCTCGGACGACCTACTTGCGCATTCATATCCCTGCAAGAACTGGTAGCACTGCGTAGTAGTGGTAGAATGTATTCTTGACAGCATCAGAACTAGTCGGTGGGAGCATAAGCGGAAATCACAAACAAACAGCGTCTAGTACTGCTTCATGGATCAACCTTAGTTGTTATCGCCAAAGGAAACAAGCTAGAGAGACTGTTCACAGTTTGGCGTATTGCTAAACGATTGTGAAGCCATCAGACAAGGCCAGCCGCTTGCAACCTATGAAGAGTTAGCGCAACCAAGGTACGATCACAAAACTCTTCAGTTTTAACTAGGCCAACTGGTGGCGCAGTGGTTCAATACTGTGCTGCAATCCACAGGTCGTCGATTCAATCCTACACACGCGTGGGTGATCTCGAGATGTATCTTAACGACGCGGGACCGCTCGGTGTCGTGTGTCCGCGGAGTACCGGTACGGTGTTCGACGCACCAATGACGCTACCTCGAACAGAACATACGATATCACGGCCAAGAAGTCAAACTACCGGTTTTTTAAATTATCGCGAACTGCTGAGGTGATGCTGACGGTAACAACAACCAGTGAGCGAGTTGTCAGTGTTAAAAACGTGAGTTTCATCGAGAAGACCACTCTAACCAATAGTCACTGAGAAAATTGGTGAGAATGGGCCTGAAGGCGGGATGCAGTAAGCCTATGACAACAATCCGATCCGAACGAGCCATCAGTAATCATGCGTTGGCTCACTAAATGATACAAAGCAGTACCGAAAAAATGTGAACAGAAAAGCAGTGTAGTGTTTACAGGCGGGTGATACCCCAGTTCCCTCTGCGTCATCAGCTACGGTCCCAGGGATCGAACTGACCAAAGTTCCTTCCAATGAGAAGCGCGGTCTACATTGAGACTGGGCGTCGCAATCCATTCGCACACACACACAACGAATGATTCAATATGACCTTCTAAGCCAGAAAACATGCAAACTTCATAACTGTTCATTGGAGGATGGATTTAGCATATGCATTCACCCACCAGGGGTAAGAGTGTGCCGGACCAACAGTTTGCACTTAAGGTCCATTGTCAAATATTGCTAATAAAAATCAGCTTGTGGACTAAGCCAAACCGAACCTGGTCCTATCTCATCTAAATAGGCTGAAATGTTTGAAGAGCAATGTTCATAAATACAGTGGACCGAGAACGGCTTAAGCATACTGTCACTGAGCTGGAAAGACGTAATTGTGATGGGAAACAAATCGCCGTATCGTAAATTTTCCGGTCGTTTCAAGATGCCTTGAAGCTGGATAAACAGGTTGTCTACACTCCAAACGACCTCGGCGATTACTAAATAGGCTTTCCTCGTCCTTACAGTCAAGCACGTCTCCTGGGAAATGGAAACAGACTAGTGTCTTACTGCGCTATAAATCTGGACACAGTTCAATTTTATCCAGAAGCCTGAAGAGGGCTGTAGAGAAAAACTTCTTCCTCATATCGCAGTTTTTCCACACCCTTGTACTATGGTTTCTTAAAGTCACGTTCATGCATGACTTGCCAAACTGATTTCCTAGATAATCTCACTAGAGCGACTGGTTCTGTACTACAGAGTGTAGTGCCAACTTTCTTGGCATATAAAACGCGACTGATCGAGCTTCACACGAAAGACGGTTAGTAAAGCGAGTAGTTTTCGTTCTTGGTTTGAACATTACCGAACAGGACGCCCGCAAACTGCCAGCATAAATGAGTTCATTTCTACATCTCAAACCATAGTAGCTTATCACACGCCTCGGTAAACCATATTTTTATTTGTGGATGATTGGTAATTTGCGTACAAGTCGCACGTACTTCGACATGTAACTAGGGTAGCACATACGGAACACGATCTGCAAACGTGGCGGCGAAGTGGTAGATGCCCATCTCTACATCGAAATGCGATGTAACAACTAGTGAAAGCCAGATCAAGTCGGATTATTTCGATTTCAAGGTGACATCATTCCAATTTGCTCTTCTGTCAGAGATTTGGAGTTGTGGTATTCCAGCTCTATAAACCTCAGTAGACATAAGTATATTAGACAGTTAATAAAGATGAAAGGCACCGGACTCGGATTGTAAAATCGATAGGGGACCTTGTAATCTATGTAAAGGGGGCTTGAAATCCATCTACGGTTACACCAGAATTATGTTTATAAGGATTGGTGAAATGAACTGAAATCTGAGCATTTACGATTTCAGAAAGGTCTGAAAACAACTGGTTGGTATAGTTTGTAGGCAACGTTTCGCTTCTGAGAAAAAATCTTCGTCAAGCGGAGTGAACCAGTCGAAAGTTGGTATAGCACTTATAGCAAACTGGGATGATAATCGCGACGAATGGAACGTAGGCAAAAGGTCACTCGCGTTACAGGTCAACGCATCACGGTCACAAGTGGTCCGCGTTACAAGGTCACACACGTGAGTCCTGTTAACGAGGGTGCGGGGATGATGTGATGTTCATTCTCTGCCCTGGATCCGTCAGCCGGCGCTCCTCAGACCGGTCGGGTTAACACAGCTCGCCACAAGCTCTAAAACGCGGCCCCGTCCATTCCGTTCACGCAGCTGTTCACTGCCAAACTCAACCGCCTCAGCAGTCAGCCTCTGGGGAGTTGATCACATCCCCTTTCTAACGATTTTGACGTTATCTAAGTCGATCTAGTGCCCTGGATCTATCGCGTGCATCGTTACTGCTGAGCACCTAACAACTAAGTGGTCTTCACGCTCTACAAGACTTGAGATTATCCTGATCTACTTGCCTTAATTCAGCTCAAGTACTGGTCTGTGCGAACATTTGGATGCGACTTGGGGTGCCTACCAAAAGGAAACACCATAGACTAGCTGGTCAGTCGACTCACCTGAACCACTAGCGACCACACTGGATAATTCATTAGCCTATGTTCCGCCCCGCTGATATCGAACAGCAGCTCAAACTATTGATACCTGATGAGTTCAAACGAGGACTATACCGGTTGTGAGAGCAAACATCGAAATCCCTCCACTGCGGATACAATCGTGGTGATCGGAATGCTCGAAGACAACTTCAAAGTAAACCAAGGTCTCAACAGACATTGCGTATCGCAATCCAACCGCACGGCTGGTACTGCAAACCCAACTTTGAACTATTGGGTCGTTTTACAGAACACAAAGCACCCAATAAATCCCCTACTATTCACATATAATCAGTAGTCGTCTTAACAGCTCACATGCCACCTCGATTGGCGGCGGCTTGCAAAGGAAGTCGTGACTCTGAGGACCAGCGCTGACCTCTGCACGCTCATAACATGCATGATAGTGGAGGATGAGCCGCGCTATAAAACAAGTAGATATCATTAATGGCGGTCTGCTGTCGTCTCCCGTGACTTAGCGGCATAAGTCGCTGGCTCGCAAGACGGTCGTTTCGTCATATTTGGGCCTCGTCAGTAGCGCGCACCCGCCGAATCCTGCCGGATTCGAACCCACGACCTTACACTTGCGAGTCAGCGATTTATGTCACTGAGCCATGGGCAACGGTAGCAGACCGCCATGACTGATGGCTAACTGAGATATAGCGCGGCTCATCCTCCACTGTCTTGCATGTCATGAATGTGCAGAGGACAGGGCTGGCCCCCAGAGCGACGAATCCACACAAAATACACAATACTTATCCCTAACCAATTTGTCAGGGGGTTGACTTATTATTCCTTGGACAGTTGGATCGCTGCACATTCCCTGACAATGTTCGCCGCCCGCCGAATTCTCTCAGTAGTCAGGACAAGACGAACTGCGCTGGCAACTCGAACGAAGCCTCATAGGCGAATGGAAAGTTCGATTATCTCAATGCGGCTTGGAGATGGAGGCTGAAGCCCTCAATGGAAACACTTGCAAGCTGTTTCAACGTATTCGGACCACTCGACGGTCATAAGAATTCTGGTATCTGCGAGGCGGGCTGGTTACAAAACACTATGTTGAAGAGTCGCATGGACAAAGGTCGATGGCATTTCCAATCGAAATGCAGTTGCTTCTCGCCGTCCACCTTTGCACCCAGTGCATTTAGTAGTCGCATGCCACGGGCGATGTCACTTGAATTCGCCACCGAAGCGGAGATTTGTATTAAAATCAGATGAGAAACGGTTAAGACAGTGATAGTGGTATGCTGGGTTAGGAAGGAGAAGGCTCTAAGAAATGAGATCAAATGTTGACAGTTTTGGGAAAAAGGGTAAGTTTGGAAAGTTGAGAACGACAGACAGAAAGGTAAAACAAACGAGACTCACCTACGAACAAGTAAGGAAGAATTTCTGATACGCAAGCGTTCAGTACATCGTCCGGATCATCAGGTGAAGTCACCTGGGGGGCCAGCTCAGGTGACAGCTTAATTGAAATGGGATTGGAATGGTAATGGTGGGGATGAACAGACCAGCTCAATCGACAAGAATCGGAGGTAGTGGGAGGGGGTCGGTGTTCATCAAGTTTTGATTCGAAGGCACAGGTTAGTGGACCGAGGGGTTTGGCACAGAAGGAAGTGTTCGGAGCCCACCGTGAGCCAGAGGGATCCTTTTGGGCACCCTGACATAACGGGACTAAATCGATGGAACGGCTAGTGACTGTGTGTGTGGATTTAGATGGCGTTAACGTACAGCCAGCAGAGGAAGTGAAACCGAAACTCTCTGAAAGGGAGGCGCCAGAATCGATGAAATCGGAAGAACGCAGGTTCTTGAAAGCATCGAAACCACCTGAGAACACAAAGCAAAGTCGGAACAAAGTCTCATTTATATAAATAGGACGCAGCGGATGAAGTACGAGAGATAATTGAACAAATAAATTAACATATTTCCCGAAGAGAGGAAGTGGTTACCTTTTGTAGTACGACCATTTGTGCAGCGAGTTTCGTTATTATTTCATTCGTGAACTGCACTCGGTATGGAAAAGTTATGCAATATTTCGTTGAGCATGTAATAAGGAACATTATTTGACAGTTTAATATTATCATGTTTTTCGGGCCGGATTCCATGACCACACTAGGCAAGGAAAGAAGATTTTAAATGAGTTTTAAAAACGGAAGCTCCCGCTGATTCTTAGTTGCAACGGAAGCTTATTTCACAGGTGTGTTTACCTCACCCAAAAAAATTTAGGCGGATATTTTGCTTGGTTCTCCGTAAGACGTTCACCATCACGAGTGCGACAGGTGGAGCTATTGTGTGCGACGGCCGTATTGGTTGAGAAAATTTGCGGGTACTATGGAGAAGATTGTTTTCCAGCCGTCGAAGCCGGAATGGATTGAGCTGGAGGCATGAACTACGGTCCTCATAAGTAGGCGTTGATGAGCGCCCATGAGCATTTTAGTAAATGAGTGCTGGACGTTCTTCAAAGAAATTCTATCTGTTTTACTTAAGCGGCTATGTATTATGGTCGTACTATGAGTTTGGATGATTCAAGTTGTGTTTGGGATAGTGAGTATAACCTAGTAATGTAGCTTGTTATTGGTTTCGCTTTCGCTACTTGATGTATGATGTGTTCGGAGAAGTTAAAACTGTTCGAAAATCAAATACCCAGGTCTCGAACAAAAACACGCAGTTGGGAGGGGGGTGCCAATAAGAGTACTGGATCTTCCTGTGGCAAAGCATCTGAGACGTTTCTGCCGAAAACCTCACTGACCTACTTTCGTCCCATTTGTTTAGGAATGATAGGTCTTCGCGTATATCTTTAAGGCATAGTTCCAGGTGGTCAGGTAGAAATGAGTACACTAGTTTGATGTCATCCCTAAATAAAAATGGGCGCCCGTGTCTAATATAATCACATTGATCGTTTATGTAAATGAAGGAAAGGAATGGGCTCAGTACACTATCCTGAACAACACCGCTCGTGTCATTTCTGGAAGTAAAACAGTATTGACCAATCTGTACTCTTTGAGTTCGGTCATTCAGATATGATTCGAACCAGCTCAAGGGAGGGTTGCTGATTCCATAGGATTCAAACACAGCCAACAATGGTTTGTGCGGTACACAGAAGGATGACGATGACGGCCATACCACCATCTAGAGTTACTGTCACTTCTCGATCGCGGAATTGTAACTGGCATGTGACACAGGAACGTTTTGTAGTGTAAAGATAAAAATGAACCATTTGTGCGTTCTCTAGGCGGCACCTAGTTCGGCCTACGTGAGATGCAGATAATAAAAGAACAATGATATGGTAGAGCGCAAATCCAAAATGATAAAGGTCAGGCCTTCAGATCAAGTTGATCAGCACACAATGGGAAGAGGAAGATGACAGTTCGATGAATGCGGAGCAAACAAACCAATGACCGGCACGCTGAGGATCGAGCGCAAAAGTCAAAGGTTGTACTGAACAGGATATAATGCGACAGTATTTGCTAGCTGTGGCGAGTACACCGATGATGGCGGAATAGTATACTGTTCGCGCAAGTCATGCCGACAGAGGAAAGCACGCACGGAAACGCAGCGCATAACGATGAAACGTTTCGAAGAACCGGTTAACAAGCAACCGTTAGAAGCTTCAACCGAAGCATGATAACAACCGATGGTCTTGGGTTACTGACAAGTGAACGACAAAGCGCCAACAAAACGTAGACAACAGCGCTGGAAATGCAAAGGAATTGTTGCAACTGGAGACGCATAGGTGGAAAGAAAAATAGCGCTCAAGATTAGACAGTTGGAAGAAACGGGATCAAATCGGGGCCATTTTAAAGAGAGAATAGGATAAATACGTGTGGCCGACAAAAAGAAGCTATGAAGAATTAAATAAGATGAAGCCAATTTTTAAACGTTGGTGTAACGAAGTTGAAGATAACTTGCAAAGTGGCATGCAAAGGGAAAGGATTTGGGAGTGAACCGTTTCCCATCATCATTAGCAATACACGTTAGCTGAGAGTGAGAAACACGCTTGCACTTGAGATAAATCGAAATTTGATTGGGAATCTGAAGGGGATGGACATAGAAACTCACAACATAAACGCCATTACGACCGGCTCTTCGCCATCAGCAAGTGTATCTAACCAAACCAGTTCAGCGGCCTTGGGACCCCAGTGCGGCAGTCGGGATGCACTAACCGACCAAGTCATCGCTTGGTCTCCATTCCAACTGTTCAATCCACACCCCGGGAGCGCAAACAACATATGTCGCAGGAGCTAGTGCACTGATACGTGCTATTGATGAAGTCATGGAAACAGCGTTCGTTGGACACGGCCTTGAAGATGTGGAGCTACCGCCTGGTGAGCGACTTCTTGACTTGGAGTACGCGCACGACATTGCTCTCATGTGTGACAGCGCCCAAACGAGCCAGGCTGCACCTGACCGATTAGCACTGGCTGTCAATCGTTTTGGGCAATGCTTTGCTCCATCGAAATGTAAAGTTCCCCTGCGCTGACAATTGGTGGTGATCAGCTAGAAGTCGTTCAGGAGTTAAAGTACCAGGGCAGTTATATTTGCGCCCGTGGGATCAAAGCTGAGATTACGAACCGGGTAGCAAAAGCTCGAGGTATTTTAGCCGATCTCCGCCGACCGTGGCGCAGACGCGACATTACTCTCGCCCTGAAGGGCAGAGTTAATAACGCAGCCGTCCGTTCAACTCTCCTCTATGGTTGTGAAACCTGACCCATCAGATCTACAGACATAAAGAAGCTCGTCATATTCGATCATCGCTGCCTTCGCAGCTTAGCTCATGTCTGTTGGGAGTACCGCGTGAGTAATGAGCGTGTTCCGCGTCGCGTATTTGGTGCAGGAAGAGTGAGTGAACCGCTCAGCACCATTATATCACGCACCAGGCACCAATGGCTGGGCCACGTGTTGCGCATACCAGCACACCGACTCCCGCGACGTGCATTGTTGGCGCGCTGAGGGTGCGGTTAGAAGAGAGGCTAAGCGATGATTTAGTCGAGGGAAATGAAAACCCTCGCTTCGAAACTGGCGTCGGTTTGTGCATCCTGACAGCCTGGCTGGGATCCTAAGGACAACGAACAAGTTTGGCTGGACAAATTTGCTGATATGGCGAAGAGCCGGCCCAAATGGCGTTTGTGTTGTGAGTTCCTTTGTCCATCCCGCTCCTCCTTAGTCTGCCCTCCAATCACGATCTCATTCGTAGGCATAATATAACTCTTTGCGGCACGATAGTAGGCTGTTAACTCTCCAAGACAATGTCCATCGGTTACTGAAAATTTTTGTATTGTGGCACGGTAACTGAGATTTTATCCACCTGCAGCTAACGTGTATAATGGTGCTGGCGGTGATGATGATGATGATGATGATGATGGTGATGATGATGATGTTAATGATAATGATATTGAGAAAATGCCTCTGTGTGGCTGCATCTACTATTTTTCAAGCAAACCTACCAATTATGATGGTGATTATCCCCGATATCTCAAATCAGCAAAGAAAGTGTCCGGGAGTTTCTTAAACTGCGACACTGACTTTGTTTCGACTATCTCTGCAGGCAGATTGTTCCAAATATTTACCAACCTTCGCTTGAAGCAGAGTTGTTGAGTGATTCACTTCAAATACGGTACGACAAGCTTGTACCGGTGTCCTTCTATGCTGCTTGGTGTGCGCAGATGCAGAAGAGGCCCCAACATGGGGTGTTCGCCCAGATGTAATATCCGATGCGGCATGACAAGGTCAACCCGCATTCGACGATAAGAGGGTGTACAACCCTAGTCTCTTGCATCATTCTTCATATGGCACACCTCGTAAACCGGGGATGAGCCTTGTAGCAACATGCGGTATCCGCTCAATCCTTTGCACCTCGCCCCAAGTGAGCGAACAGTAGGCGTGTGAGCTGTACTCGAGCACTGGTCAGATAATGGAAGAGAAGAGAACAGTGGCAACCTCTTTGGACCAAGTACAGAAGCTGCGTTTAAGCGCCCAGAGCATGCGCAGTCCGTTTTAATAAAGCCTGCTCGTGTTTTCAACGGATTTCAAATCGCAGTGTAAGAGTACACCGAGATCTTTCATGAATCGCTATGGGTGTAAATGTTGGCCGGCCAGATTGTAGACTCGGCCATTACCACCCTTGCCAAGGCTCATGAATACCGACCTGAGCGGATTGATCGGGAGGCTGACCTTCGCTGACCACCTGGAGAGGCGGTCAAGGTCACGCTGAAGCAGGTCGCAGTCGTCGGTCGCCTCAATTATCTTCCATACCTCAAGGTCATCCGAAAACAAAGCGCAAGGTGGAATGAGAAGTTGAGGTAACTCGTTGATGTGGATCAGGAAGAAAATAGGCCTAAGGACTGTGCCCTGCGGGACGCCACTGGTCGAGGAGTACTACTCAGTCAAGTAGTTGTCCACCTGCACCCTCCACGTCCTACCAATAAGGAAGTCACTGGTGCAGTGAGTCACCAACATTGAATATCTTCAGATTCCGAAGGAGCATCTTCTTGTTTACCCTATCAAACGCTTTACTGAAGTCGACGTAAATAACGTTAACTGACTTCTCTTGGTTTGGCGCCTGCAACCATTCGTGCCTCGAGAGCAACAGGTTTCTGATGCATGACCGAGCTTTCATGAAACCGTGCTGCGCAGGCGTCAAAATGCTTTTCGACTCGAGATGATGCAAAAGACCTCGCTTCACGATCTTCTAGAGTGTCAGCCAAAACAGAGGTCAGGTATATCGGTCGGTAGTTGTCCACCTTGTTCGGATCGCCGCTGTTCGGAATCGGTTTCACCACTGAGCATTTCCAGTCGCTCGGCAATGAACCAGCGGACAGTGACCTGTT